AAGCAGCTGGATATGACCATGCATAGGAGGCAACTTGGAACGATTTACAGATTTTATTTAACAGGCAATTTGTAATGAGGCACATGTCATGAGGTCATTTCTAAATTCACACTCGATACAGAGATTCGGTACAGAGATAGCGAAAAAGGAAAAAATAGGCAGCGAAAAAAACTATGAGATCCACATCTGATTTTCGTAATGAGATAAAATTAACCGCAAGAAATATCACTTGAATAATAAGTGAAGCAAAAAACATCGGTATTGAGGAGTTGCACTTACTCTTAAAGAACTCTTTTACAACTCATCTAAATTTAGAATCACTTCTACATCTTCATTTTCTGAGAGAATGCGCCGTTGATCTCCACCTAAATGCACTTGAATTGCATACATTGCAGCAGATATAAATAAGAAAAAAAGAATATTTGTGCATTGATCTGCACCAAACAATCGGGAGCCAGAGGCCGTTATCGAGGAAAAGGCAACAAACTGCAAATTTTCAGTTTTTCAGGGGAAAAGAATGAAGATTCTAAACTCATTCTCGATACAGAGATTCGATCCAGAGATAGCGAAAAATGAAAAAAATAGGCAGCAAAAAAAAAAACTATGAGATCCACATCTGATTTTCGTAATGAGATAAAATTAATCGCAAGAAATATCACTTGAATAATAAGTGAAGCAAAAAACATCGGTATTGAGGAGTTGCACTTACTCTTAAAGAACTCTTTTACAACTCATCTAAATTTAGAATCACTTCTACATCTTCATTTTCTGAGAGAATGCGCCGTTGATCTCCACCTAAATGCACTTGAATTGCTTACATTGCAGCAGATATAAATAAGACAAAAAGAATATTTGTGAACATTGATCTGCACTAAACAATCGGCGGAAGCCAGAGGCCCTTATCGAGGAAAAGGCAGCAAACTGCACATTTTCAGTTTTTCAGGGGAAAAGAATAAAGAATCAGTTGAATAAAAAAATACATGGAGACATGCCCAAATTACCCAACCTTGGCAGAAAAAAATGAATCGGAATGCGTTATCCAGCTTCCATGCCTATTTACAAACACTAGGGGCATTGTAGAAATAAATATGAAGACGATGAAACTTACCATGAGCCACTTTTGAGTTAGGTATATAGTACGATACCATGAGCCACTTTTGAGTTAGGTATATAGTACGAATACTCGTCCTTCTCAATAGGAAATCGCGTGTAAGGATACCAAGTACTAACGTTGAAATAGTACGAATACTCATCCTTCTCAATAGGAAATCGCGTGTAAGGATACCAAGTACTAACGTTGAAAACGACCTCAGGCCGCAGCTCCTTGATAGCTCTACATTTACCACCAACTTTCCAACCTTCAAAAACACTCCTGAAAGGGAATAGGTAAGGAGTAAGGAGTTGAATAGTTGCTATGGACCAAAGTAGAAATTCTATTTATCTATTCAATACACGCAACTGAGTGGCCAATAGAGGAACTGAGGACAGGTATACAACTACAGAAGAGTCCAACCAATATCAAGATAAAACGAGCTGAGCTGAGCCAGCAGTGACAGTCCGCTGAATGGGCCACACACGCTACAATAGCTGAACTGATAACATTGAAGATGAAGATAGCCAGTACCTGCACCTGTTGGCCATGGTGCCTCATCCAAACAGTTACTGGACAAAGTCGGAACTTCGGCACACTGGTATGCCAACATCCCCGTGGAACCGACTTGTCGGATACCGGTATAAGACAGTAAATGAACAGAAGGGCGGCGCAGAGTCAGCATGGATCAGTGAGTGGAAGGAAATGTTGATTCTTTTATACAAAGGAGTTTGAAATTTAAAGAAAGCGACTAACGCTGAGCCCTTGTAGAGACGTGGTGAGAGTTGATCAAAGAAGAACTAACCGATACCAATCTCAGGATAGATGATAAAAGAAGTAGCGGAACAGTGAATCCTCCAGCGCCGCGGGACTAACGCTAGGTAGAACATAAAGATTACGCAACGCCTAGCACATCATTACAGAAAATATGATTGTCAATTGCAATTCGAAAGACCCTTCAAGAACGCTAAACGAAAAAGATACACGTAGGGTATTTTCACTTCATACACAGAAAATTCTCGAGCAATAGAGTTTTTTCATAATTATCCTTCCCATGATCTACCTAACAGTTTGATAGCACAGTTTGATGCAATCAGCACAAAACTAGTTTAACCCATCGGCGACCGCGCTTTTATATTGTCCTTACATTAACCTTTATTTTCCTTTATATCTGTAGTTAGAAATGAATGACTCCTAGACTGCAATGCTTCAAGATTCTCTAGAAGGCTGTGAGCTCAGCTGATACATGAAAACATGAAAAAATTACTGGAACACCTGATAAACAATATACAGGGTGGGCCAAAATTATGACTACACAGAAATCACATCGCAGAAAACGAATAAAAAGCCAATAGAGCAAACCAATTTCATTAAAGGGCTTAGCACAAATTTCTTATCAAAACTGTACATTGAGACTGGGATCTGTTGCGTTCTACTTTCACCCAACCCCAAAGACGACGATGGACGGCATTGACGGTAGCACGCAGCTAGGTTGACGGTAGCACGCAGCTAGGGTCATCGAAATGGTCCCGGCTTTTTGCTAAGCATTTTCGAGATTATTCCTTCTCTTGTTTGGGCTAAGGGATGCTTTCGTCTCAGAGGCTGACCACATTGAAACATACATGGGATTTAGGTCAGGGCTCCAGAGTGGTCACTGATCGAAGGTTATGAAGTCAAAGAACCCCTTTCACAAAATTTCTAGACAATTTCTGTTCTGCAGACAGGAGCTTCATCTTGACAATATGACCGCTTCGAACCACTAAAGTGTCCTATTGCGAACGAAAAGATCAAACAGGCCTCCAAACCAACTTCTACTTCATAATTTACAAGAATAATCGGAGTCTTTGCCTCGGCGGTGATGCTGGTACAGGCCATCACAGAAAGTTAGTGAGCCAGGCGCTGTATTACTTTCATTTCTTGAAGCTTCATATAAATGTTATCGCTCTACTTATTGAGCACCTATTTCACTGTGAATCTTTTCTCGTCGGTGAACAGGAATTCCGTAGGACAATTTTTTCGGATGCGACAGGCAGCTTTTGTTAGCCAACCTTTCTCTTCTTTTTGCTGCTCTCTGGGGAAATCACTTTCTGATCGTGTAACGGTCTCGTTGTGCAGGGGATGCTTCACGGTTT